ACACATACACACAGACGGACACTCACACACAACCGAACACACAGGCACGCACAGACACGCACAGACACACGCACATACACACAGACACACGCACAGACGCACACACACACACACACACACACGCATTCACAAACAAACGCAGACGTACACAGACACGCCGAGACACACACATACACAGACACACGCACAGGCACACACATATACTCACTGACACACAAACGAAAACAGACACACGCAGACACAGGCACACATGCACGCAGACACGCAAACACACAGACCCGCGGAGAAGCACAGAGACACACAGAGACACATAGAAAAAACACACATAACAACACATACGCACATATCGACACAGAAACACACGAATCCATGCAGACACACAGACACACAAAAACACGCACAGACACAGAGACACACGCAGAGACACACAGAGATTCACAGAGACCCACCTAGACACACAGACGCACACAGACACACACAGACACACAGACACACAAACTCACACAGACGCGCGCACGCACACAGACACAAAAACACAGACACACAGACACGCAGACACACGCAGACACACACGCACAGACACGCACGCGCAGACGCACACACTGACACACATTCAAACACACACAGACACACAGACACATACACACACAAACACACGCGTATACACGCACAAACCCACAGACAAACACACAGACACGCACACGCACACATACACACGCATCAAGGGAGGAGAAACCACCCCCGGACCCGACAATTGACGTTTACTAAACGGCCCTGGGCGTTTACTCGACAGCCCTGTCCTGTTCGGTTCCTTCCTTGGATGCGTTTACTCAGCGGCTTCGCTTGACGGGGTGATTATTCTGGTGCTGGATTTTCTCCACCCTAACACACGCGCGCACACGCACAAACACAAACACACACACACACACACGCAGGCGCGCATGCACGCACGCGCGCACACACGCACGCACGCACGCGCACGCGCGCGCACGCACGCACGCACGCACGCACGCGCACGCGCGCGCGCACGCACGCACGCACGCGCACGCACGCACGCACACGCACGCACACGCACGCACGCGCGCGTACGCACGCACGCACGCACGCACGCACGCACGCGCGTACGAGAGCCCGGGCCGCACTGATTTGGGCTTGGGTGCAAGACCCTGCAAGGCCTGATTGACCCGGGCTTAGCTTGACCCAGGCCAGTAGGTCTCCGATTTTTTTGGAATCTGACAAGCGACGCCTCCTCCCAGAGCATCCGGGAACCTCAGAAATGAAGGGTTGGAGGGTTGACGGGTTGGCCTCGGTTTGGCAACCCTTCAACCTTAGTTTCAACCCTTCAACCTTAGTTTCAACCTTAGTTTCAACCCTTCAACCTTAGTTTCAACCCTAGTTTCAACTTTAGTTTCAACCCTCCAACCTTAGTTTCAACCTTAGTTTCAACCTTAGTTCCAACCTTAGTTTCAACATTTCAACCTTAGCTTCAGCCCTAGTTTCAACCTTAGTTTCAACCTTAGTTTCAACCTTAGTTGTAACCCTTGATTCAACCTTAGTTCCAACCCTTGATTCAACCTTAGTTCCAACCTTAGCTGCAACCTCACAACTTCCATTTCAACATTTGATTCAACCAGATCGTTGTTTTGTTCGTTGTTTTGCAGTCGACCCTCGCACCCTACATTTCGAAGATGCCTGGGCGCTCCCCCGTCATGGATGGGAGGGCAGGGTTGGATGCCAGATGTAGCGCGAGCGCACCTAGCTTGCCTCTCCCCCTTCTCCCCTCGCCTCTCCCCCCCTTCCTCACCCGCTCCTGTCGGTTCATATCCTTCTTCTCCCTGGAAGCGGCGTTCGAGCAGAAGGGGGCGGGGGGAAGGAAAGCGAGGAAGAGGTGGAGGGAAGGGGGAGGGGGGGGAAGGAGGGCAGGATCGTCATTGCCGTCAACGTCATCGTGGGCCGTTGTGGTTCCAAGGTTTTCGTTTCGAGGAACGGGCTGGCAACCGACCTGCTGACCCCCGACGTTCTTCTCAGCAGACAGTGCAACATCATGGCGGCGCCCCGTATGTTTGCCAATGAGGCAGTCACGACAAAGGATTACACCACCGCGTTCCTACATGCCCACAGTCGTGCGAAGCTTCCGTTGGGCGAGATTCTGGGCTCCCTCGGGGCCGCGCCCTATCAGATTAGTCCCGATGGTATCGCAAGGGGCTCCCCTTCTAGTTGAGGAGCTCTTGGGCGCTGGATTGAAAAGTGGCGTTATCTACCCGTCACGTTTCGAACAGGGTCTTCGAGATGTCATCCTCGAGAACCGTAGTGCCATGAAGGCTGAGGGTCAGGGCGCCGAGCTCAAGATCATCCAAATACGCGCGCACGTGTCTAACCTCTTGACTCAGTTGCGGAACTGGAAAAGGGAGACGACGGGAGTGTCTACCAAGCAGATAACTAAGACAGCTGGCTTGAAGAGAAAGGCCAGCTCGGCCCAGCAGGTTTTGATCAACACTTTGGTGTCGAAGCTTGACTGGTCCTCGGAGGAGAATGCCAGCCGCGCAACGTCTGTCGAGCCAGCAGGGAGTCGCGCATCGCCCCCCGAACCGCCCCCAGGAACGGAGGCCGCCGCCAGGATCCATCAATCCTTGCGTGGCGAGTCGCCATCTGGTCTCCCTCTGTGCTTCAAGAAGCACCTTGAGAACATGCGTGCGGACTCGCGTGACAACTTGTGCTACGCCAGCCTCCACGCGACGACCCCCTTGGCGATCCCCTTGGCGAACGCCGAGGCAAGCCCCGTGGCGGGGGCGCCCCCCGCGATGGAGACGCCCCACAAGGCAATGCGGTTAGCAAAAAGGGGGCGGAGGAGGAGGGGGGCGAGAACGAGGGGCCGGAGGGGGGGGGCGAGGAGGAGCAGGGGGAGGATGAGGATGAGGAGGGACGAGGATTTTGATATCGAGCTGAAGTTCGGGTTTGGGACCTTGGGGAACAGAGGGTGTGACGTGATCATGTCGCGCCCTCCGTTCCCCATTTTTGGTTTGGGCTCGACCCCCCGCCGCCCTCGAGGGTGGCGGGGGGTCGAACCCAAAACCAAAAGTGCCCAACCACCCAACCCGCACTCGTGCTTAATTGTTGCTGGCCTCAATGCCGCCAGGCAGCCGACGCGACGGTCGGCGCGGCGGCAGATGTCTCGAAGGCCACGCCGATTCTCGACGCTAAGACCCGCAAGGACAACGTATTGACCAGCCGCTATGGTGGCGATGACAAGGTGTGCCCGTCACCCAAACGCGCGCCCGTCCAAATGCAAACAATCGCAGACACCATTCATATACACATACACGTGCACATGCACATGCACAGAACGTATATCACATACAAACGCCTATGCCCCATACATGCACGTGCGCCAACAAAAAGCGCATACCGCACATACACATACCATACACATACACACACGCACACGTAATCATACACGTTCATTAACACACATACACATAAACATACGCGTGTACTTAACCATATACAGAACACACAAAGACGCGCAATCACAGACGCGTGCACATTCACATTCATACACACACGCAAGTATATACACAAGCACATGCATACTCATGTACACACATATGTGCAAACAAAAAAATCAATGCTACGAGGAGCGAGCACGTACTTGCGGCTTCGGGGCGCATTCCCAAGGCGACTGCTGACGCGGCCAAGGACCAATGCGGCAAGAACAAGGGCACGCCCGCGGCCGCGGACCCCCCCCCTCCCCCCCCCCCCCCAGCGCAAGCCCAAGACCGCATTCGAGGACCCACTGCTGCAGGATCTCATGTTGATGGGCCCCACGAGCGAGGCGAACCCGAGGTGCGAGTTCGTAGCGACAAATGTTTCGACTGGCTAGCGTGTCCACGATGTCACAGTGAACGGGAACCGAGATGGTAGGAAATTTGCTTCTGCTGCAGAGACGTTCAAAGCGTTCTACGACAATGTCGAGGGTGGTACGTCTCGTCGTTCGGATGCCATTCAGAAGATGCAAGGGTTGTTGGCGCGAGGGTGATAACGCGTTTCTGTGAGCCCCCCGTTTCTTGTAGCGGTGCCTAGTGCGTTGCTGCCGCGTTCGCTGTTGCATTGTATTCCAGCTTCTTTTTTTATAAAAAATCAAAAAATATACAGGTTTTGACCACTTAGGGCACCCTGTGGGATGGTGCTAGATTTCAAGAGTGGGCATCGGGATAGTGCGCTTCGACATCTTACGACATTTCTGCCAAACTCTTGGTGCGCGCGCCCTCCCGCCCTCGGCATCCTCCATGCTTCGCGTCTTCCTCCGCGTCCTCTTCCACCGATCACCAAACAAACAGACAACGCAAACGCCAACATGCGCATAGCCTGCGCGCCCAGACAGCCGAAGAGGGCCCCAGGAGGGCCCCGAGGGGCCAAACAAGTTATGACAACACTCGTTCCCACAAACGCACGCTTTCGTTGGTTTTGAGACTACCAGAGTTTCACAGAAAACCGTAGAGTCCCAAACCTACTGGGAAAGTATAGGTTTTGACGAAAATCGCGCCCTTGGGGGCCCTAAGCTGACTCCCCAGGTCGTTCTAGACGGCGCAACTTCTGGCGCAGCGCAGCCCTTCACAGCGGGGGCTTACGTGCCAAGAGACACCAGCTGCTTCCTCCCAGGGTGCCCTAGGTTTCCGGCATTTCGATTGGTTGTACCATGGGAAAGCTACGCTCCCATGCGAGAAAAGAATCAGCGGGCATCCTTGCGTTTCAATGTTGTGTTTCTTGTGGACGGTTTCTTGTGGCCGACCTTATGCCGTATGCCAGATTTCGGGCCCCCTTCCCCCTGGTCTTCCGTAATGCCATTTCGGACCAACATATATAGCCAAGCAAGGGCTGTTAGTGAGTACATCCGCCGCTTCAGAGCTTTGTGGAGCTATGGTGAAGGGCGCTGCGCCGAAGACCGTCGGCAAAAAAAGCGCCCTGCTGCAGCCGGGCGCCCTGCTGCAGCCGACCCCGAGGAGCCCGAGGAGCCCGGGGGGTGGGCTGCGAAGGCTCAGAGATCGTCGAAGTCGGCCACTCCAGCCATCGAGGACGCGCGCGCGGGCGACGCGGCTACGGGGCTGGACGTCTCGCCCAACACGCGTCTTCGAGGGCGCGTTGCCGACCCTGTCCAAGGAGGCCCGCGACAAGTGGGAGGACTTTCTTTTGAAAACGGCTTCACCTTGCAGACCAACTATCGTGAATTTACTTCTTTGGGGTGGTGAGACCACCAGGTCTTGTTAACATGTTTAAACAAACAATCACTCCGTGCTCTGGTGTTCTGGGCATTTCCTCTGGGTGGATCCTGGCATTCCCTCCTGGGGGGTATGCTTTCGTTTCCTTGCCAAGAGGAGCTATCGTCGAAGAAGGGCGTGAAGGGCGCCCCGCAGCTGAAGAACGCCTCGCGCAACAGCGTGGCGCACAAGGGCGCGCCCTACGAGCTGAGCGCCAGCAACCTGAAGGGCGTCAAAGCCACCGACTTCCTCAACGTGACCAAGACCGTCGCGCATGGCCGCAGTGAGACTGGGGTGACCCACAGTGCGCTGGAGGGGAAGTTCCACTTCACCGAGGCCGAGTTGCAGGCTGCAAGGACCGCGGCGACGTCTGGCACGAGACGGACAGCGACGGGGGCGAGATGTGGTACGAGAAGAAGAAGATCAGGGGCGTTACCGACGCAGTGGAGAAGAAGAGCGAGTCCAAGAAGGACAACCCCATGAAGGACGTGGCAGAGTTCAAGCAGATGGCCCAGGACAGTTGCGCGACCAACGAGGCCTGGCCCCAGAAGGCCATCGGGCGCGGCAAGAAGGGCAGTGGGCCACCTTCGTCTCGGGCGGCTCCGTCGACCAAGGGCGTCGTCACCTACGAGACGGCGCAGGTCATGCAGGGCGCCTGGGGCGCCAGCGCCCAGCTCACCGCTGACGCAGGCTGACCCATGGGCCAAGGAAAATAACTATATCTTGGGACATTGACAATGCCCCAAGATATAATTATTCCCCTGCGTTTTTTTTTTTCACGCAGCTTTTCATTCGGTACAATCGCGCGGGGCCCCCGCTCGGGCTCCAATCCCGAGCGGGGGCCCCGCGCGATAGCATGTAAAAGTTGCGCGGGCGAGCGTTGCTTGATCGCTCCCCCCCGGGCTTTCTCGCGCAGCGCATCAAGCGCGACCGCGCCGAGAGCCAGATCAACCGCGCGAGGGCCGACAGCGTGGTGAAGTTGCTGAAGGACTGTGTGCAACCATCCAGCGTGCTGCTCGCGAACCCCGGGAAGCCGATGACCAGCCTCGACTTGACCGAGTGCGAGGATAACGTGGAGGAGCGTGCTAAATTGTTCTTGCTGTTGGGGCAGGCGCACCAGGAGTTGATCATGTCCTCGGGTCTCAGCAAGCAGGGCAAAAAGAAGACGTCCGCCAGGCTCGCCGAGATCAAGAATAAGTAGGTATGTGCTGACAGAAAGCCATGCCACACGGTTTCAAACACACTGAGCGTTTGCAGATTTTCGTAGCGTTTGACTCTCGGTTCATGAAAAAACCAAACATGTTTGCATGTTTAAAAAACATGCCAATTGAGAATCCTTCGAGACTCCATCGAACATCGATGGGCTCTCGACCGAATCATCGAACAGCTATCGGTGTTCGATAGATTATCTATGGATTCTCGATGCGCATGTTTTTTTTTCATATATCATTAAGAAGATATCGAATCACATGTTTTGCCATTTTGAGATTTCTGGTGCAGGTTTCTGAGTATGTTGGTTCGGCATTTTTCTGTAAAAAAAAATGTTTGTGTTTCTCTCTCTCTCTCTCTCTCTCTCTCTCTCTCTCTCTCTCTCTCTCTCTCTCTCTCTCTCTCTCTCTCTCTCTCTCTCTCTCTCTCTCTCTCTCTCTCTCTCACGGCGCCCCTGGATTTATACATCTGCATGTTTGGGGCCCCGCCACTTTGAAGCGGGATAGTCTCCGACCCCCTGCTGCGAAACCAGAGCTGGAGTGTGCCCATAATCTGCTCGAGCGCTGAATCATCTACGTCTAGATGGCCCAGAGTTGGGCGCTGTGTGCCTCGTAGTTGCGCTGTCGATTGGCCACCCCTCCTGCAGGTCTTGAAAGGCAAGCCACGCGGGGAAGGGATGAGATGAGTGTTGCGATACGGAGAACGGGCAGGAAGGGGAAGTGGCCGAGGGAATGGGAAGGAGGGGGAACACGCAAGGGAGGGAAGTAGAAGGATGGTCATGGGAACGGCAGGTGATATGATAAGTAATGGAGATAAGTTGCCGCGCTGGAGCTCCAACCCTGTGGCATCAGGGGCCTTGGTCTCAGGGGCTTTGGCCCTGCCGTTCTCTTAGGGCTGGCACTGGGGCGCTGTGCATTTGCGTGATAAGGCCGACTCGCCTGGCGAGTACGTTTGAAGTTATGTAAAATGATGTTTGGTCGGCAGCACTGCCTACCGTGTTGCCCTCCCCCCTGGTCTTGCATCGCCCACTCCACCTATTGGTCCTCCTTCTCCAACTCCTCCTCCACCTCCTCCGAATCCAGTGCCAGCTCCCCCTTCCTCCTCATTCGGCGCCAGTTCCCCCCCCCCCCCCCCGCGCCCCTCCACCGCGAATCCCGAAACCGAGGGCGGCATTCGCATAACCAAGTGTGGCAACATATACTACACTTGAAACCAACCACGACAAACGGTAAGCAAGCAAACCCACACCAAAACGAACATCGACAACCAACACCAAAACGCACAACAAAACGCCGGGGCCTTCGGTAGAGTTACCTGAGGAAGCCACGAGCCGTGCAAGGGGCGCGCCGAAATTGTGGAACTAATGCAAGGTAACATAACCAACATAGTACCACACACAAGCGTAAACCAGATCAGCCATTTTGAAACATCAAGACTCAATGGCGTCGCAATGGCGTTGTGGGTTCAAGCTTTCTGCATTCCGAGAACGCAGTGAACTCGCGCATCTTCTTATGGCCAGATGGCCGATGATGACCGTCGGGCTCTCCTCCGACACAGGGCTCGTCATGGCGGCGTCCGCCAACGTGCTGAGGCCTTGCAGTTATTGCAAGGGATGGGCGAGCCCGAGCCCGCTGGGCCTGCACGCCGATTCGACTCGCAGTAGGGCAGGCAACTCGTTCGTGATTGGGCTTGGGGATACAAGCCAGCTGTTGAAGTTCAAAGGATTGCTGCCTTGGCTGTTGCAGATCAGCGATCCTACCCCCGCGACGACGAGGGGTCCCAGATGCTGGTTGCGCCGGCAAAGCTCGGAGCGCACGGCCAGCGACCAGGCGCCCCTCCTTCCGGAACAAGTCACCCCGACCACCCTTCTGGCCAGACGACGGGGGGAATAGGGGAGGGGAGAGTGATTGTCGGAGATGTCAAACTGTTTAGAAGTGTTCTGAAACCCAAATGGGCTTAACCCCACACACCCTCTCTAGACTTTTGTTCGCCCCCCTCCCAAGGCGCCGTCTGGCTTGACGGGGACAGAGGTGATTGGTCTTCCCCCTCCCTCCTCCCGCTTCCTCCTCCTTCCCCCTCTTTCTTCCCCCCTTTCTCCTCCTTCTCCCCCCCCCCCTCTCCTCCCCCGCTCTTCCCCCTCCCCCCCCCGCTCCCGCTCCTTCTCGTTTATTGTGTGTATCTTCACCAGGCAACGTCAACAAAGACTTGAAATCGTATCTGGGCGAGCCGTCGTTGCCCGCGCCTTCGTATTTTCCTGTGAACGTACGGTCGCTCAAGAGGAGAAGGAACGTATTCCCACTTTTGCCCGTTCGCTTGTGCCAGCTGATGCAGACGCCGTTCATGCCCCCCCATGCGTTGTTCGCTCACCTCTGGCATGAGGACAGGGAGGGCTTCAAGCGCACGATCGTTGCCGATGGTTTCGCCTCGAGGTCCTTCTGGGTGGAGGTCGAGAGGCGGCGCGACCCCAGGCTCCAGGGCCATCCAGTTCTGGACAGGGACGGGCGGAGGGGCGCCGCCATTCCCATCGGCATCCATTGCGACGCTGTGCCAGTGACTGGGGTCGGCGGTCATAGCGCACAGTCATTCGATTGCATTTCGGGGCAGTCGTTGTTTTCCCCTGGAGGAACGCTGCGACAGCTGAAGAATTATATATTTGGCATATTTGAGGATTCGGCGGTCAAGCCGCCCAAATTCGAGCATGATGCTATGGGCGAGGTTTGGCGACTAATCACTTGGTCAATTCTAGCAGCGCATGATGGCCGATGGCCGTCTGCAGACCATCTCGGCGCCCCGTGCGATGCCAGCGACACCCTTGCTGAGTTCGCCCTCGCAGGGAAGTTTCTCGCCGATGTCGAGTTTCCCGTTCCTTGGGGCATCAAGGGCGATTTGGACTACTTTGCCAAAGGCCTCCATCTCAAGCGCTATGGAAGGGGTGATTTTTGCGAGCGTTGTGCTTCGACGACAGCCAAGGATTGCGACCCGAACGTTCACGCTTGCAATTACAACGAATGGGGCTCTCTGGATGCGGCGCTTGCACGCACCTGCTGCGTGGCGCGCAGCGAGCGCGGCTTCTGCTCACAAGTTATGTGCAAAGAACTTTTTTGACGTGCCAGCTTGGAGCCTGTTGAGCTACACGTCCTTCATTTGGGCGTTGAAATGTGGGCGCTCGGATCAGTGATTTGGATGGTGGTGTTGAACGTTCTTCGCGGGACCTCGTCCCGTAATATAGATCAGGTGCGGGCATGGCTTCTGGAGTCATACGAGCATGGCGATCAATATCATCAGTTCCCAACGCTTGGTCTGTCTTGGTTCACAAACGTCAAGAACCCACGTGGTCACTTGCCAAAGTTGAAGGGCAACGATGGTCAGGAAAAGCATTTGGTCAAACCGATGCTTCGCGTGTGGCGTCGGTGCAGGGCCGAGATTTCAGAAGTTCCCGAGGGTGCTGTGCCTTTCGGTCGGGTCGACGCCTTGCTGGGGCACTTGGTTGAAAGCCAGAGGCTAATTGATTTTCATGCTCGGGATTCATTCAGGACGATTGCCAACGCTGCTTCGCTCAAAAGGGAAACTGAAGCATTCCTGAGATTGTATAGCGTGATTGGGGCCGCGTCAGACGCGGGTCCAGATAATGATCTGCTGTGGAATAGGACGCCGAAGTTTCATTAGCTCTGGCATCTTGCAGGCAGGGCTATGTTTTTGAGCCACCCGTTTTGGGGCGTGCTAGATCGATGTGAGTTTCGTTGCTGTCGTGAAGCGAGCTGCCAAGTCGTGCTCTTTTGGCACGACGCTAAACAGTATCCTTGGTGCAGTGATGACAAAGTACAGGTGAGGCATGCACTGCATTCGGTACGTGTGCCCCAGATGAATTGTAAGTTGCCAAGCCACATGGCTTAGTGCGTCTCCCCAAGGGAAGCGTACGCGTGGCCACTAATCCTCCTCCTCCTCCTCAACATCATCATTCTCCACCCCCCCTGTTGCCCCTTGATGTCAGGGCTTCGCCCGTTCTTTGCCGTCCAGTTCCGATGTTATACCGTCGAGGCTTCGCCCGCTTCGCCACACCATGTTCTGGTCTGCTGTTTGGCAGGGCCTCCCTAAATGCGTAAAGGGTGTGCCGAGATGGGCGCTGTGGCGCCATGTGGACACCCTCACTCTGGCCATAGGTGGAGCTCCCTGCGGGGGCAAGACACGTGAGGGGTGTGCAGACATGGGCGCAGGTGTCCTTCTCCCTGCATCCTGGCTACTAGTACTAGTTATAGTGTTCCTACTTGTACTGATGCTAGTGGTGTCAGCAGCACTAGTAGTCGTTGTAGTTGAAGAAGTAGCAGATGCAGTCATCGTAGTCATTCGCCGTGGTCGTAGTAGTCGTAGTCGTACTAATCGTAGTGGTGGTGGCAGTGGTGGTAGTGGTCGTGGTGGTTGTGTTGGTGGTGATGGACGGTTCGCACGGGTAGTTAGTGGTAGTATTAGGGGTAGTAATAAAAGTAGTAGTAGTAGTAGTAGTAGTAGTAGTAGTAGCAGTATTAGTAGTAGTAGTAGTAGTAGTAGAAGTAGTAGTAGTAATAGTAGTAGTAGTAGTAGTATTGGTAGTAGTAGTAGTAGTAGTAGTAGTAGTAGTAGCAGCAACAGCAGTAAAGTAGTAGTGACAGTAGTGGTGACAGTAGTAGTAGTAGTAGTAGTAGTAGTAGTAGTAGTAGTACTAGGAGTAGGAGTAGGAGTAGGAGTAGGAGTAGTAGTAGTAGTAGTAGTAGTAGTAGTAGTAGTAGTAGTAGTAGTAGTAGTAGTAGTAGTAGCATCAGTTAGCCGTAGCAGTAGCAGTACCTTCAATAGCACTAGCAGTAGCAGAAGCAGCCGTAGTGGCAGTAGCAATAGCAATCGCAGTAGCAGTAGCAGCAATCGTAGTCGTAGTGGTCGCAGTAGTCGTTATTTGTCGTAGCAGTCGTAGCCTCAGCAATATTTATAATACTAGTAGTCGTGCGGTTGGCTCTAGAAATAGTAGCCTCACCAGCAGCAGTCGTAGTTATAATAATGTAGTAGTGGTAGTAATAGTAGCGGTCCAGTTGTAGGATTCAACTGCATACCCAAACTCCTAACATATTCGACCAATTCTAGATCCATCCTTATATTCAACTCCAAATCTAACCCTAGACCCAACCCTAAACTCAACCCTAGATCCAACCCTAGATCGAACTTTGCTCCAACCCTAGATCCCACCCAACCCTAGATTCATCCTTAGATCCAACCCTATTTCCAAGCCTAGACAGACCCAACCCTAGATTCAACCCTAGATCCAACCCTAGACCCATCCCAAGATCTAACCCTAGTTTCACCCCTAGTAGGAACCCTAGTTCCAACCCTAGTTCCAACCTTAGTTTCAACCCTAGTTTCAACCCTAGTTTCAACCCTAGTTTCAAACCTAGTTTCAACCCTAGTTTCAACCCTTCAACCTTAGTTTCAACCCTAGTTTCAACCCTAGCTTCAACCCTTCAACCTTAGTTTCAACCCTAGTTTCAACCCTAGTTTCAACCCTTCAACCTTAAAGTCAACTTACCGTCCCAACCCTTCAACCTGAAAGCCAACCTCAGAATGAAGCGCTCAACCTTTCAACTCCTTCAACCCTTCATTTGCGGGGTAGCCGGATGCTTTGGGCTCCACCACCAGGGACCACCAGCGGGAGGAACCAGGGATGGGCTCCTTGGTGGTGTGGTCTCCCCCCTTCTGGCTGGCCCGAGGCATCCCTGTGTTCCCCGGGCTCGGGGAGGCATCGTTGGCCTCCTCGCTGGATGTTGGCCCTCGTGGTGTTGCTGGTGTCGCTTCTCCTCCCCCCCACCCTTTGGGGGCTCGCGGTGAGGACCCCCGGGTGCCGAATTTTCGTTGGTGCCCGTCCTTTTGTTGTGTTCCTCTGCGCGGCGCGGGGAGGGTCGGGCCTCTTGCGGCCGGTCGGGACGATCCGGGCACTCCCGGGGCGCTCTCGGCGAGGCGCATCCGCGGGAAGGTATCCCGAGGGCGGGAAGCCTGAAAAGACCGACGAAGGCCTCGAACGACTCGAACGACTCGAACGACGACGACGACGACGACGACGACGGCGGCGGCGGCGGCGGCGGCGGCGGCGGCGGCGGTGATGGCGGCGGTGGCGGCGGTGGCGGCGACGACGACGCGATGAGGACTGGGCCTCGGCGGCTACGACTCCGACTCGGACTCCTGAGAGAGGCGCCTCGTCGTCGCGGCGCCTCGTCGCCCCGGCCTCCAGGAGGGGTGGCGAGGCGACGGGCTGGCCGCCGCAGGCCTGAAGAGGTCCGGCCTGCCCTTAATCGGCGGCGGGGTTCGAGCCCTGCGCCCGGACCCCTTCGGGGAGGGAACAAAAATCATGACGGGAGGTTTTTCCAAATTTTCGGCCTCCGAGGGTCCTGATCGGGCCTCGGGACCGTCAAGCAACGACTCAGGATGAGAAGCCGGTCCTGAGGAATGGGTCGAGAATTTGGGGGGTCGGCGTAACGAAAACAATCATGACGTCGGGGGTCTGTCAGGAGGGGAAAAAACACACAGACACAATTAATCGGCGATTCCAAGAAAATATGGGAAAATATGGGAAGTGGGGGGGAAGACAAAAACCCAGAAAATATGAGAAAATATGGGGGGTATTTTTATTTGTGTGCATTTATTTGTGTGTCCCAGTTCCCCTTCAGTCTGGGCAGTCGGACCGAGGTACAGAGGGTGACCCTGAGGTCCTGGCGCTGCAGTTCTTTCGCAGCGGGCGTTTTCCCTCGACCTCGGGCCCCGGGGCCCGCGCATGTCGATCCGGCGAAGAAAAGGAGGCAGAGAGAGAGGGGGTCCGCTGCTCCGAGTGTCGCTGGCCGTGGAAAATTGCAGCGTCGGATCTCAGGGGAGGTCGGTTTGGGGAGGGTACGCTCGTATTCTTCGTGCTCGTCCATGCTGTTCTTGTGCATCCTGGGGAGGGTACCCTTGGGTGTTCTGTTTGCTCTGGCCGACGGAGGCTCCCATGTTCTTGAAGAATGTTCCTCTGTCCTAGGTCCGGCCGTACAGTGGGGGCCCATGCCAAGAAACACCCTGCTTGTCTCCAGGGTACCCTGGGTTTCTTGGGGTCGATGGTTTTGCAATGAACAGCGTGGCGTTCCCACACCAAAAATACATGTACGTCCTGGGGTCTCAGGGTTGTGTTTCTTTTGGACGGTTTCTTGTGGACGGGCCTGCACTGTACCCTTGGTCGGGCGGTGTTCGTCGGCCCCTGGCGGTCTCTTTTATTACTATTTTTTGTTATTTGGAGGTATGTTTGATTATTGTTTTTTTTTTCGTCCAGCATCCCCTGGTAGGGGGACACGCCCGCCCTAGACGTAGGTACGCGCGCGCCTCGTCCTGCCGGCAGGCGCGGGCGCGGTGATCAACGATTGAGGCACCTCGATGGCCAGCGGTGGTGGGGTTTGGACTTCGTCGAGCACGCGGCGAAGTCCGGAATTCCTACGGTAGGTTTGCGTCGTGTCGACCAGCGGCGACCCCAGCGCGGGCGTTCAAGGTTGAACGCCGCCGGCGACCCAGAATCGATCGATGTTGAACGATCGGACGTTGCGGCAGCGGCCGATCGTTCAAGGTTGAACGATCCCTGCGGTGTCAAAAACCAACGCTGGGGTCGGCACGACACGAACCTGCCGTACCCTCGCCGCTCAGCAGTCCAGGCACCTCGATGGCTGGCGGCGGTAGGGCTCGGACTTCGTCGAGCACGCGGCGAGGTCCGACCGAAATTCCTACCCTCGTCGAACAACGCTTCAGGCACCTCGATGGCCGGCGGCGGTAGGGCTCGGACTTCGTCGAGCTCATGGAGAAAGTCGAAATTTCTACCCCTTCTCCCATCGACTCGGGAGCATCGATGGCTGGTGGGCGCAGGGTTCAGGCGGGCATGTCCCCCTACAGGAGGAATGCTCAAAATCAGTTAAGAAATAGCCTAGAAACGATTCTTCGACTGTTGTGGACCATTTTGGAGTCTTCTGTTTATTTTTTGAATATATTTGCATATTGATAGACTATAGGTGATCATGTTTGAACATGTTTTGATTATTGTGAAGGCCTGACGGCCGGTGCCGCCGAGCCTGAAAGACATGGACGACGATCAGGAGGGGGAGGAGGGGGAGGAGGAGGAGGAGGAGGAGGAGGAGGAGGAGAAGGAGAAGGAGGAGGAGGAGGAGGAGAAGGAGGAGGAGGAGGAGAAGGGGGAGGAACAAGACTCTCCCCTGGGACCCCCCCCTCCCTGGGGAAGAGGACCGGAGGAGGACCGTCGTGGGAGAGGGGAGGGCATCCCCGGAGGACCGTCGCTGTCGTGTGAGGACATGCCCGACAGGAGGAATATTCAAAAACAGTAAAAAATAGTATGGGAACGATCCTTCGACTCTTGCCCACCATTTTCTAGGGCCTCGGGTTTTTGTATATCTCTGGAGCATGTTTGAGTCTCCATCGGCCGCTGATGATCCTGTGTGAGTGTGTGTTGGATTGGATTGTGTTTGTGAGGACCTGCCCGACCCGAGCGTTTGGGGCTCGGACGTCGCCGCCTGCCGTCGCAGCCAGCTCGCCAAGCGCCCCGGGGCACGGGCGGCGGCGCTCGACCTGCGCGCGGGCGCGCCGCGCCGAGGAGGTCGCCGGCGCGCGGGAGCGCCCTTCGCGCGCGCGGGGAGGCCGCCACTCCGAGGAGGAGGAAAGGAGGAGGAGCAAAGGAGGAGGAGGAGGAGGAGGAGGAGGAGGAGGAGGAGGAGGAAGATGAAGAGGAGGAGGAGCACGAGGAGGAGGAGGAGGAGGAGGAGGAGGAGAAGCAGGAGGAGGAGGATGAGGAGCGGGAGAGCGGGCCGAGGTGGTGGGCCCTGACATCGGGCGTGTCCCGCTACAGGGGGATTCCCGACGAAGAATCAGAAATACCCCCAAAATGCTCCAGAAATGTAAAAAAATGCAAAACATAGTCCCCAGAGTATGTCTGGAGCATTTTTTCGAACATAGTCCCCAGAGTATAGTCCCCAGAGTTTCGTCGAACATCCCCCTGCAGGGGGACGGGCCCGACTTAACTCTACCCTTACGTCGGGCGTGTCCCGCTACAGGGGGAATTTTCAAACATAGCCTAAAGATAGTCTGGGGATGATTATTCGTTTACCTTTTGCATTTTTGGAATATGTTTGGGGTATCTTTACTTTTTCACCCATAGTCCTCCTGTAGGGGGACATGCCCGACCTAACCATACCTCTGCCCTTCCCTGGTTCCCCTCTTTTGGGGCCTCCTTTCGGAGGCCCTCGTCGCCACCGCCAGATTCGCTCTGAAACTCTGGTCCGAACGCACCCCGGGATAGTCGGGGCTGGACAGACCTCCCACCCTGACACGTCGATTAAGGAATTGGCCGTTTTGGGTTCGCGAGAGGGCGTCGCGGCCGTCATTTTTGCGGGTCCAGGTCCGTCGGTTTCGGTCCCCGGCCGTTTTCACTGAGGGGAAGTCTACTAAATCGGGGGCGGCAAAGACGGGGGTGATGACTAGGGGGGGGTGGATGTCGTGGCGGGGGCCATGATGCCTCCCCAGATGTCATGGCGCCTCTTCTTGTTCCATTACGTCCCTGGACCCCCCGGCTGGGCCGCGCACGTGCCGCCGGCCACGATCTGCACCCCCCTCTCTTGGACACCCCCCTCTGTTGGCCGCCCCCGACGAAAGGGCCAGGCAGCGGTAGCGGTGCCTTCTGGCTTCCCCGGCCGCTGCGCGGCACGGCCGCGGGCGCCCAGGGAGTATGGAAGGGGCGCGCGCGGGCGTGGCGCGCGGGCGCCCCGCGGGCCCCCCGCGGGCGGCCGCGCGCTCCCGCCGCGCGGGTCTTCGCGTCCTCTGCGCACGGGCTCCCACGAGGGCGCGAAGTCGTTCGCGCTTCGCGCGCTTCTCGCTCCTCCTCCCGGCTCCCACGAGGGCGCGAAGTCATGCGCGCTTCGCGCGTTGCTCGCTCCTCCTCCCCCTCCTCCTCGTCCTCCTCTTCTCCCTGTGGGGGGCGGCGCGAGAGCGCGAAGCTATTCGCGCTTCGCGCTCCGCGGAGCGCGGAGCGCGAAGTTGGGAGTTCTATGGGCTCCGGGGATGCCCCCCCTTGAAGCCAAGATCCGGCGGAATGAGGTCGACAGCTCAGGGGGGCCACGGCGTGAGAAAGTTGCGACGCCAGAGGTTTTGGGCAAGAGGAGTATGGAAAAAGCAGCCCGTCTGCCCCAAGTCAGGTTGGCTTTCTGTGCTGAGGCGCGCCAATTAGAATCATAAGGTTGTCTCGAGCGAGGAGTGTTCATTGCTTGGACGCCCTGACTGCCACCGACCCTGGTCGTGCCCTTCTTGGACCCCAGCTCGAGGTGCCCCCCCCCTGATCAGGAGAGAAACCAGAAAACACAGAAAATAAACGTCGATGCCCAGGACTTGGCATCGCTCGGACGTGTGTAGTTCTCGTCTCGTCAAGAAGCATCGTGGAGATTGTTGGGTCATCTTGCGAAAACATACACGCACGATGCCGAAAAATGCTCGGGGAATGGACGTCCGAGCGATAGTTAGAGGAAAGTCGGAGGTTGGGGGTGAGCTCAAAGTGAAATGGAGACCCCCCACTGGAAAATCGGTCTCGGTTTCGTGTTTGTGTCGTGCGTGGGGGCGAGGCGAAGATGCGTGGACGGGCGAGATGAATTAAACCGCCAATGCTAAGGCGAAGCTGAGTCCAATCACAATACCCTCCCTGTTGGCCGGGGGTGGCCCGGGGGTGTCCCGCCGGTGTCCCTCCTTTGCTAGGTTAAAGTTGAGTCCAATGACTCTACTCCCCCGGTTGGCTGGCGATGGCTGGGGGGTGTTCTGCCCGTGTCCTGTGGTGTCCTTTGGTGTCCCGTGGTGTCCCATGGCGCTGTGTCCCGGGGTGTCCCAGGGTGTCTCGTGGTGTCCCGTGAGGTCGATAGTGAGATCGATCGTGCGATCGATATTGAGGCCGATTTTGTGATCGATAGAAAGTGGTATCGATAGATTCAAGGAAATCGGTAGTGAGATCGAGAGTGATATCGATAGGTGGCACAATGCCTTCGATCATCTGGCGCGCCACAGGGGCCGCGGGCAACCAAATGCCACCTCCAGCAGCGGCGCGATTGCGGCAGTGGCGCAATCACCGGCGTGGGTGAAAAAACCGATCGATTTGTGTGGGCTCGATGGATGGTGAGATCGATAGATCGTGACATCGACGGACAGTGATACCGATCGGTAGTGAGATCCATAGTGAGATCGATAGTGAGATCGATCGATCGCGACGTTG